CCAGCCTAGTCCTGCAGTGCTCTCCTCCACATTCACAGTGCTCCTCCAGCCTAGTCCTGCAGTGCTCTCCTCCACATTCACAGTGCTCCTCCAACCCTAGTCCTTCAGTGCTCTCCACATTCACAGTGCTCCTCAGCCTAGTCCTCCTGCAGTGCTCTCCACATTCACAGTGCTCCTCAGCCTAGTCCTCCTGCAGTGGTCTCCTCCACATTCACAGTGCTCCTCAGCCTAGTCCTCCTGCAGTGGTCTCCTCCACATTCACAGTGCTCCCCAGCCTAGTCCTCCTGCAGTGCTCTCCACATTCACAGTGCTCCTCCAGCCTAGTCCTCCTGCAGTGGTCTCCAGAATCACAGTGGTGGCTGAAATCCTCCCCTTTCCTATGAGGAGCTATATAATGTGACAGTTATTTAATAGTGTTTGGTAGTCTCAGAAAATTTGTCGACTTTTTCAGGACCTCTTGGTCAATATAGTATATTATATTAATATGCTAAAGAAGTTTCTATTAACATTGTTTATATATTTGTTTTTTTTTCAATTTTCTCAGAGCTGTTTATTAACATTTTAATGGATTTTCTGTGATTTTTTTCTACCAAACACTGACTGCTAATGATTTACAGGTATATAAAGACAAAACTGAGAACTCGTTTTCTATAAAGACACTTTTAATTATCACCTGATGGTTTAGGATTTTATGGTACAATGGTTCTTTTTTTTCTTCTTTTCCTTTTTTTTTCCTGTATTTTCTGTCTTTACAGTAGGTTCCTTTATATTCCTTAACATTAGTAGCTTTACCTGTATTTTATTATTAAATGTCTATTATAAATACTGTATATTGCAGGACAGTGTAAGGTGAAATTAAAATAAGACTGAGTTATGTATGTGTCTCTTACCAATAAAATTGTGTGGGTTTTTATTTGCCTGGCTAAATAGTGCTCCTATTGCTTATGGCGGGGATGTTTTCTGACTGGGTTGTGCTCCTTTGTCATTTCATCCTGGCTCAGTGAATATTCTTGACAGTTACCTTACTGTATCATCTGTGTCTTGGCAAATCTGCCTCCATGTCTAAGAGAGACAGTTTGTTTAAGGTAGCTTTTGAGAAGTTTCAGTTTCACTTCTTTCTTAGCTTTTTACCATGACCAAAACCACATAAAATTAAATTTATTGTCTGAAAGATTTTCTTCTATTTTATACTGTTATATCCAAATTGTTGTGTAACACATCTCTATGAGCTTTTCATTTACAAAAGAAAAATTCAGTATTTATGAAGAAAAAGGAGTGTTTATTTTCTTCCAGAGTCATTGTGTTCAGTATCAATAAGCAATGAAGGCCATAGATTTTTACATTCTGCTGTTTGCTGTTGTGCTAATTTTAGCATGACTTTAGATGTTAGATGTGTAAATTGTATTCATCAGAGTCTAATGAGTGAAATAATTTTTTTGTCTTGATTTCTTTCAGGTGTGTTTCCTCATTATAACCAACACTTTTCACCAGAGCAGAACATAAAGTATTCTTTCCAGGAACTGATCAATGGAAGCCATAGAAATGGTGACGTTGACAATTTGTGCTCCAGATAAGAAAGGGACCGTATAGAGGGGCATGAAGTTCCGAGGACGTATTATAATGGGTATAACCCGTTTGTAACAACTGATGGTAGGAGAAGCTTTGCTCCCAGTAGACAGCAAAAACCTGAAATGGCTCAAGAAAACCCTCAGGCTCTGCCTGTTACTTGTGAACAGCCATGTGCTTCCGTCAGTAAACATCAGAGTCAGCGTTTGAACTGTACCTCTCCTTTCAAAGATGGTTTGGGAAGTACAGAGAGGAGTCTAGCCCATTCTTCAGTTACTGACTTCAGCAGTTTCAAGTGTAGCTTTGGGTTAAGCTTTCATTCAAACCTTTTTGTAGATGGGGAACTTAAAAATGAAGAAAAAAATTCTAAATGTAATCGATTTGAGAACTCCATGATGAAAAATTCCTTAATATATAATCCACAAATAGGTCTTTCATGTGTCAAAACACAGAATTTTCATAAATACGGCAGGTTCTTTACACATCCAGTATCACCTAATCAAAATTCAAGTACAGATATTTTAGAAATCCAGTATATATGTAAAGAAAATAGGAAGGCCTTTACTGAGGTGTCTGCCTTAAATAATCACCAGGGCGCATTTATTGGAGAGGCGGTGTATCAGTGCAATGAAGATGGCCGTGACTTAAGCCATGAGGCAGATCCTGCGGATCAGCAGTCTGCTCGTTTCCCAAAGGACTTTTACAAATGCTACAAATGCGACACCGTCTTTCATCAATACTCGGAACTCATCATCCACCAATATATCCATATTCAAGACCAGATTTCCAAGGGGATGGATTGCAACACAGCTTTCAGTAAAAGTTCCAGCCTTCCTAGAAGTCATTCCGGAGAAAAACCCTACAAATGTAAGGAATGCGGCAAAGCCTTTACCTATTGTTCCAGCCTCAGACAGCATCATAGGATTCATTCTGGTGTCAAACATCATAAATGTAAAGAATGTGGCAAAGCCTTCTACCATAAGTCACTCCTTACGCAACACCAGAGCATCCATGCCGGGAAGAAGCCCTACTGCTGTAAATTTTGTGGCAAAGCATTTAATCAGAGATCAACTGTTACTCAGCACCAGAGGATTCATACTGGAGAGAGGCCCTACCATTGCAAAGACTGTGGCAAAGCCTTTCACCAAAGGTCAAGCCTGAGCCTACACCAGAGAGTTCACACTGGAGAGAAGCCCTACAAATGCCAAGAATGCGGCAAAGCCTTCAACCGTAATTCTCTCCTCACTCAGCACCAGAGGATTCATACTGGCGAGAAGCCCTACCATTGCAAAGACTGTGGCAAAGCTTTTAATAAAAAATCAAGCCTGACTCAACACCAGAGAATTCATACCGGAGAGAAACCCTATTCTTGTAAAGATTGTGGCAAAGCTTTTAATCAAAGATCAAGCCTCAGCCTGCACCAGAGAGGTCACACGGGAGAGAAACCCAATAAATGTAACGAATGTGGCAAAGCCTTTAACCGTGTGTTTTTCCTCACTCAACACCAGAAAATCCATACTGGCGAGAAGGCTTACCACTGTAAGGACTGTGGCAAAGCTTTTAAACAGCGCTCGAGCCTCACCCAGCACCAGAGAGTTCATACCGGGGACAAGCCCTACCACTGTAAGCACTGTGGGAAGGCTTTTACTCAGAGGTCGAGCTTTACTCGGCACCAGAGAATCCACACCGGAGAGAAGCCCTACAAGTGCCAAGATTGTGACAAAGCCTTCAGCCGCAACCTCCTTCTGATCCAACACCAGAGAATTCACACAGGAGAGAAACCGTACCACTGCCAAGACTGTGGCAGAGCGTTTAATCAAAGATCGAGCCTAACGCAGCACCAGAGGGTTCATACTGGGGACAAGCCCTTCTGTTGTAAAGACTGCGGCAAGGCGTTCACTCAGAGGTCAAGCTTTAACCGGCACCAGAGAATCCACAGCGGAGAGAAGCCGTACAAGTGTAAAGTGTGCGAGAGCACCTTCAGCTGCAGCTCCCGCCTCGCTGAGCACCAGTGTGCTTCCTTAGGCAGCTGCTTCCAAGACACAAAGTTCCTCCAATATATGTGAGTTTACTGTTCTGTTACCGCCAGCTCGCAGACCGTAGGATTCATTGTTAAACATGTGATGTGTTTTATATAAAAGATACTTCTTTCTGTTGTTGCATTACCTTACTGGATTCCCAGAATGTCACATTCTGGTTTAATTGAGTAATACTTTTTTTTCTTGTCATTTTGTCAGCTGGTTCTGTGTTAATTGCATTCTCAGATGTATTTCCTGTAATGTAAACATAAAACATATATGCTGTTACACAGAGAAACCCTGTCCGGAAAAAACAAAACAAAAAAAAAATACATTGTCCAATGTATACATAAAACTGTCCACCAGACTTCACACTAGAGTAGTTTTTGGCGGGCGCCATTCAGAGTCTCCCTGTGACTTACAGTCCCATCTCTAAACTGTAGCATGGAACTTGGCTGTCTCCTCCAGTTGTGTTGACCATCTCTTCTACAGCAGTTAAGATGATATTATCCAGTATATAGCTGCTGCATGCTGGATCCACACTTGTATAAAGTTGAATTCCACTATGGGAGGGCTGTTGTGTGACGGCATGCGTGTGAGGGTCAGCAGGTAGCACTCAGTCCTCTATCATTTTGATTTTGGGAATGGAACTCAGCTCGGCTCGTCAGGCTCGTCTGCAAATTCCTTTATCTGAGTCATCGCTTCTGTGGTGGGACTTTAGGGTCTAGGGTTTCTCTGGCTCGACTAGAACCGCCTCTGTGGCGCGGAGCCCTGCTGTCTTCCCCCCTGCCCTATGAGAAAGGCAGGCCACCTACAGTTTCAGCACAGGGCTCATCATCCCCCTGCGACTTGAAGACGTGACCATACTTAAAAATGAGGACGTTCAGAAAATGTAGGGGAACATTTTTATGGTGAGATTTCAAAACCGACCCATAGAGCTAAAGGCCTTTTGGGGTAGTCTTTTTTTTTTTTTTTTGGTTTTTCGAGGCAGGGTTTCTCTGTGGTTTTGGAGCCTGGCCTGGAACTAGCTCTGTAGACCAGGCTGGCCTCGCCCTCACAGAGATCCACCTGCCTCTGCCTCCCGAGTGCTGGGATTAAAGGCGTGCGCCACCATCGCCCGGCCTTTTGGGGTAGTCTTTCGTGTTCTCCGGATCATGTCTAGTTAGGTGTCGCTGCTAGAAGGCTGTGTGCCAGCGTCCTGGTGATGAGTACGGAATCTGTAAGGCCAGGGAATACTGGCAGCACACTGGATCTGATCCATTATCAGGAGGGAGAAGAGCTGAGAGCAGTGAAACTTAGACACCACCTAGCCCAGAGCTGTAAACAACTTACTCAACTATAGACTGCGAGTGTTGTTTGCCTCGGCCGCCGGAGGACCAGTCCTATCACATTGTGGAAGGTTTCTATTGGGGCCGTTTCATTCTCTGTGTTGGCCCAGAGTCCAGGGTCACTGCGAACTGTCTCACTGCACCTAGGACCTGCCAGATTTTTAGGGCTTCGGGTTGCACATTGGTTCAGGCTAACAATAGGTCAGAAAGGAGTGAATGATTCAGAATTTCTTCACAGAAGCATTTTTGGTTCTATGGAGGAGTCATTCCAGTTTTCTGGTACTCAAAGGAGGAAGCCTGTGTCCACCTGCAGGCAAAATATACTCAATAAATAAATTTCTTTCCATAGGTCTTCTTTCCAAGACAACAGCTAGAACAAACACAAAACTGCCATGGCTGGAAACTTCTAGAAAACTTCAGTGTAAAATAAGTGGACAAATAATGGAACCTATGAGTTGTTGAGCATGAAGAAGGGAAGGAATGATTGACAGATTTGAATTTGTTTGGAAAAGATTGATTTATTGTATTATACATTCTGATGCACTTCTACAAGGGCATTTTCTAGAAGAGTTCTTGTTTCTCTTTGTGTTGCTTTTTCCTTGTTGGAGGATTTAGACGCTAATAGAATGATCTTAGAGAAATTTAAAGAGTTATGTTAACTCGGCTGTTGTTTTATGTTATTAACTGGGAAAGTAATTATAGTTTGCTTTCTGTTGCTGTGATAGATAACTATAACCAAAAGCAGCCTGGGGAGGAAATGGTTGGTTTTAGCTTCCTTTTGCATGTAGCAGTCTATCATAGAGAAGTCAGGTTGGGAGCTAAAGCAGGAGCAGGGGATGGAACCGTGGAAGAGAAGCTCACTGGCTTGCTCCGCCTGGCTCCTGCTCAGCCAGCTTCTCTAAACATCCCAGGACCATCTGCCTTTGGGTGGCACTGTCCACAAGAAGCTAGGTTCTCCTACATCAGTCAGCAATCGTAACCATTCCAGACACAGTTAGGGCCGTTCCTCAGCTCCTCGGCCGAGACTCCCACTTTCCACATGACTCTTGGTGTGGCAAGTTGAGAATAAGAACAAACAAGGACGGTACAGTGTAAGGCGGTGATTAGGGAGGACAACAGAGTAGTTATGGTAGCAATACAGTAACCAGGAGCCTGCATCCTACTTAGGGTTCCACAGAGATGCTCAGAAGAGGCCTGCTCAGGGCGAGACCAACCAGCAGTCTCCCCTCAAAAGAAGAAACAAGAGGTCAGTACATTTGGTGGATACACTGGCCTCGGACTTCCCCTGACCCCAAAGAAGATGGCCCCTTGATTTCTCATTAAGCCTGTGTCCAGAAGTGTTCTCTCAGATACTCTACGTTTTGATTCCTGAAGGTCTGGTGACTGCTCCAAATACAAAATAACAAGCACAAAGGCAGTGAGATTTCCTTTGACTTTAGGTATTCTCCTTTGTCCCAGTTATGGTGTTTAGTCCTTAATTCTCTGCATTAGCAATAAAATTAGCAATAAACGAGTGGTATGGAAACACACAGCTCGTCCTGACATCTGTATGGCTCACCACGCACGATGAAACAGTACCCAAATTCTAGGTCTTACGTTAAGTGTTGCGAACAATATGAAGTTTCCAGCTCACAGTCTCACAACATGTGAGCACATAATGCCAGGTTAAATAGACATTTTGTACACGACTGTCTGCATCTTGTGGATGGGTGCCTAAAGCAGATTTTAAGCAGATTGATTTAAGATTTGCAGTGGTCACTGAGAACTGAGCCTGTGTTCTGAGAACAGACGATGTGCACGAGCCTTGGGCTGCGCTGTTTCTCTACTGTAGTGCTGCACGTGGTGGCTGTGAACACCAACAAGGACCCTGCTTACGATGCCAGTTCGTGCGTGTCCCCTCAGTTCCCTCAAATTCACGGAATTACAATGCCTTAGATTGGGGCCCACGTGTATTTTCTTTCTCCGAATGCAAGGTCACTCACTTATTCCACAAGGTCGTGTGCGTGTTTGCTTTGGCGCCAGTGCCATGCTGTTTTTTAGACTTGAGAATTTTATAACTATGTTTTGATCACATTTTTTTCTTTGTAAAGTCTTTTTATTTATTGCACTATACATTTTTCTCTGCTCCCTTCTCTTCCTCCCCTCTCCCCTTTTACCCTCTCATGATCCCCATACTCCCAATTTACTCTGGAGAGCTTGTCTTTTCCGCTTTCCTATGTTTTATGTCTAAAAGCCACCTATGAGTGAGTCCATATTTTATTTGTCCTTCTGGGTTTGGGTTACCTCACTCAATGTGGTGTTTTCTAGTTGGTCACGTTCTTACTCCTACTTCTTCCCCAACTGCACACGATTGCCTTTAGGAGGATATAGTATAGTTTGGAGTCTGAAATGCTATTTCCAGGATTACCTTTCCTACTCAAAATTGGGTTAGCTATTTGGGGGCATTTTTTATAAGTTTTAGGATTTAAAAATATTTCTATAAAGAATGTCATAAAATTTTTGATTAAAATTGCATTGAGTCTGCCTATCACTCTTGGTGCTATGGATTCGGCCCAGCTGTGAGCATGGGAGGTCTTTCCTGTCTTTAGTGTCTTGTGCACTTTTGCTGTGGAGGTGTTTAACATGTTTGGTTAAGCTTTGCGTTTGTGTCCATATACCTGTGAGCACGGGGAGGCTGGATGTAAACTTCAGGTGTTAGTTCTCAGGTGCTGTCTGCCTTGTTTCCCTGGTGTGGACTCAGCAGGACGAGGCAGGTGTTCAGCTACCCCAGAGAAGTGCAGTCTTCTTCCCAGTGCTGAGATGCAGGCACACACTACCACGTGTGTACTTTCTCACGTGGGTTTTGGAGATCGAATCCAGATCTTCATGCTCTCGTGCCCAGCATTTTACCAACGGTGCTCTCTCCCCCACACCTAGGTACATTTCTGAAGATGTCCTGGGTGGAGTTTTTCTGATTTCTAGTTCATGAAGCTTGCTGATTTTGATTCTTGCTTCTTTGCTAAAACTACCAGATGTAAGAAGCTTCTGGGTCTTTTGGGTGTTTTAAGTATAGTATATAGTATATAGTAAGTATAGTATAGTATAATCAGTTGCTTAAGTTCCTTCTGTTAGATCCCTTTCATTTCCCTTCGTGCTGTAACTAGGATTTCAAAAAGTTGCTTTGGTCAAGCGTGGCTAGAGTGGACACGTGTCTCCTCCTGATTTTAAACGAGGCACTTTCAGGTTTTCCCCATTCGGTGTGATACCGGCAACAGTTTTCAGGTGTTGAAGTATGTGTGCTCTTACTAGTTTATCATTCAGGAGTGTTGAATTTTGTCATTTCCAGTATTGGTTGGAATGATGATATGAGCTTTGTCCACATTTCTGTGTGCTATCAGTACTTACTGATTCGTGTATACGGAACCAGTTTTCATTCCTAGTGTGAAACCAAGTAGTCGGCATATGATCTTTTGCTGTGTTCTTGCATTGAGTTTGCAAGCATTTTGTTGGGGATTTTTGCATCTAGATTTGCCATGAAGGAAATTGGTTTGTAGTTCCTTTTTTCCCTCCCTATTCATTTTTTTCTTAGCAGAGGAGTTTGGAAGTACTCTCATTTTTATTTTTACAGACTATTTTGAGGAACATTGGTATTCAGGTTCTTCAGATGTCTGGTGGGATGCAGCAGTGAGGCTATCTTCGTCCTGGTTTCTTCATTGGGCAGCTGCTACGTCTTCCATCATGTTGTCCATGATAGATTTCTTTAGTTTCTTAGATTCTTGCAATGACTGTGTGTCTAAAAGAACAGTCCATATTTTTCAATCTATTGAAACATTTTTTAAGCAGAGAGTTTTATTTTTTATTGCTTTATAAATAATACCATTCAAAATTTCCACTTCCTCCTCTCCTCCCATTTCCCTCCTGCTTACCCACTGCCCCTTCCCCCCTCCTCCTCCAGTCCTAAGGGAGGGCAGGGTACCCTGCCCTGTGGGAAGTCCAAGGTCCTCCCCCCTCCATCCAGGCTTAGGAAAGTAGGCATCCAAATAGAATAGGATCCCAAAAAGCCAGTACATGCAGTAGAGACAAATCCCAGTGTCATTATCATTGGCGTCTCAGTCGCCCCCATTGTCAGCCACATTCAGAAAGTCCAGTTTGATCACATGCTCGTTCAGTCCCAGTCCAGCTGGCTTTGGTGAGCTCCCATTAGATCAGTCACACCGTCTCAGTGGGTGGACCAACCATTGTGGTCCTGACTTTCTTGCTCATGGTCTCCTTCCTTCTGGTCTTCAACTGGACCTTGGGAGCTCAGTCCAGTGCTCCAATGTGGGTCTCTGTCTTTATCTCCATCTGTCCCCGGACGAAGGTTCTATCGTGATATTCAAGATAGTCATCAGTCTGACTACGGGACAAGGCCAGTTTAAGCATCCTCTCCTCTACTGCCCAAGGACCTAGCTGGGGACATCCCCGTGTTGAAACATATTTGTTAATTGTCTGTGTATTTCATAGTATTTTGAAGTATCATAGAAACTTGGATTTCAGTAATATCAGTTTTATTTAATTTCTTAATTGTATTCATTTCCAGTTTTACTTATGTTACTTAGGCTGTTTTTCTACGTTATCTTTTCAAGCAGGTACCCTTTTCTTTCTTTAATCCTTCATGATTTTCTCTTTTCTCAGTTCATTACTTTGAGATCAGAACTTAGTATTTCTTTCTGTGGGTGTTAGGTTTGGCTTATTCTTGTTTTCACAGCCTTGAGAGAGCATCATTAAGTTATTTACTTACTGTCTCTTTAACGCATTACTATGTAAGTTTCTTTCCTAGAACTGCTTTTGCCGTATCCCACACACTCATATAAGTGTTTTCTAATTTTCATTTGATTCTGTGAAGTTTTTAATCCTCCCCTTTCTTCAGTGAACCACTAATCATTCAATAGTAAATTATTTAAGTTTCATATATTAGTTTATTTTCTCTTATAGTTGATTTCTGGTTTTATCCCAACATGATCTGATGGAGTATAAGAAGTTATTCAATATTTTTTTTATTTGTTAAGATTTGCTTTAGGGTCTGATATTAACTATTTTGGAGAAAGTTTCATTGGCTGCTGAGTTTAATGTGTATTCTGCAGCTATCAGGATATTCTTTGTGTGAGCGTGTCTGTGTCTAGGATGTTTGGTCTTTGGTTCAGTTTAAAGCGTGCTGATATTTTGTCTAGATGCTCTATGTATTGATGAGAGCAGGGTGTTGAAATTCCTTACTGTTGTATCTGTATTTATCTGTTCTTTATGTCCAGTAGTGTTTGTTTTATGAAATTGTCCTGCTGAGTGGCAGCTCCCCCTCTCCTCACCATCTTCTGGGGTACACACTGCTAATATTGTGTTTCCATTCCAGTCGAAGGGTCTGTAATTTCTAGATTTAGTCTAGAAATTTAGGGGCTTCCAAGTAGAGCCTGGTCTTGAACCCGAAGATCTGCACGTAGCCCAGGCTTTACACACTTCAAGGGATGTGTAGATTTTCCAACAGAGTTTATCTTTGGGATTTGTTAAGACTACAGCTTAGGTTAGACCCTTAGAGCAGTGGTTCTCAGCCTTCCTAATATTGCGACCTTCTTGCGCCTGAAAGGGGGGGGGAGGGCAGAAGCTGTGCACTGGCTCAGTGGATTGATACACTACGTCTTCAGAGAAGTCTAGTTGGTGACTGACCAAGACAAATAAGATCTGACAGCAAGAAGACATCTTGGAAAACACTTAGCCTGCTAAAATGGGTGTCAGGCACAGCTAGAAACTTCTGCCAGATCAGTGAGGGCCATCCTGAGGCTTCCCAAGTACTGCTCATGGGGGCCAGACCTTATCCCTCAAGAGCAGGCATTACTGCCCAACACTGCACAGTCCTTCACTCTGCCTACTGACCCCATCTTGTAGGCAGCCGAGTGACCATGGCAACAGCAGCAGCATGCTCTGCTCTGGGTGCACAGGGTGAGAAAAGGGCAGAGGATGGGCCCACCGGATCTCAGCTCACTCAGACAGCTGCTCCTGTTTGTAGAGCGCTGAGTCTAAGGAGGACTAGGTCCCAGCTCTCTCGACCTCCTGCTTCCAGGACCTCTCAGCTCAGAGAAATAGCTCAAGGCCCATTGTCTAAGGGATAACTGCTGCTCACTTTTTGATTTTGCTAAATCCTTCCCCAGAGAAATGAGGTTCAAAACAAAACAGTAACTTCATTGTACACCGAGTGTTAAACTAATTAAACTGTTAGTGAATTTTGCCTTATCTAAAAAACAACAACAACAACAAAAAAAACAGCAGCAAGAACAAAACGCACTGTGACTAAGTGAAGATT